ATTATAAGTTTTAATATATTAATATGGAATCATATTATTTTAATTAGTATGATCAAGAATTAATTTAGAATTAATTAAGTGATCAAAAAGAACTAATTAAATATGGACTCTTATATATATGGAATGGGCCAAGTTCATTTAGGTTGGGCTAAGCTTTCATGGATGGTCCATGGAGCTTTTAACCCATGGATCCTATGTAAATGAAAGGTCATGAGTATTAGGGTTTACATGGATGTAACCCTAATCCTCCATAATATATAAAGGGGTCTTTGGCTCACAAAATTGGCACAAGTGTGTGAAAATAAGAGTGGGCCGATTTTAGTGTGCATACATATTCTCTCAAGTTCTTCCAAGGTGTTTTGGTGATTTGTGATTCCATTTGAGGCTTCCACACTATTGGGGCTAAGATCTTAAAGCTTGAAGACATCAAGCTACATCAAAAGGTATGTCATCTAACTAGAACTTTGTAGTATAGGTGCTTCATAATATGCTAGTTAGGATGAAACCTTGGAATAGTTAATATTTGCATGTATAATAGAGAAAACATAGATCCAAGGTTTATAGGGTTGCATGTACACCATAGGAGTGTTAGAATGCTCAAAACCCAACAGTTTCGGGTCGGGTCGAAGAGTGCAGTGATGACACCCAACACAAAAATGAGTTTGCATTAAATGCATAGGCTATGAAGAGCCTCCCTATATAGTAGCTTTACCTAGACAAGACATGTGATTATACAAGAAGAGAATGTCAATTTATTTTTTGAGAAAACACTTATTACTTTATTGAAACTTGTGCCAAAAGTTAGTTTGAGTTAAAGAAGACAACTGTTGAGAAAACATTTGTCGTTTCGAAATGAACAGTTAACCAAAATTTTTCAAAATCTCATTTATTATGTTTCCCAGAACAATGAAAAATACGAGGTGATATTTTTATTGAAGGAAATTCAGAATTAGAAAAACTACGAGATAACATGACATGAGATACTTCCGAGAATTAAAAAAAAAGTTTCACTAATGTTTGATATTAATTCAAGAAGTGGAACAAAATTCAAGAATGAATATCAGAGACAAAAGTTGCATTGAAGATCTTAGTCTTTTTTCTGAAAAAGAATTGGGAAATTCCGAGATCTAAAGGATTAGAATTCAGAAATTGAGAGAAATGAAGTTACATTACCAACTCATATTGGAATTCCGAGATAAAAAAATGATTGATTGCAATGCATGAGGAACTTGAAGACAAATGGAATCTTGAAAAAGCTTGTGATGATCAGAGTCACTTGTGATTGAGTGGGCATTCTCCAGCTGGTTGCAATTAACTTTTGGAGCACTTGAGGTGGATCGCAACAAGTTGCAATAATATTGAGACAAACTGCAATGTTACGATAGACTGCGAACGATCGCAACCATATCAACAAATTGGATTTTCTTAATGTTTAGTCAAAAAATTCACAAGAACAGTAGAAGTTTAGTAAAAAAATTACCTTGGAATTGTAGAGTAGTAGTTGCCTTAATATTTCTTAATGTTTTAAATTGGATTTTCTGTTAGATTACTCTTTTACCCTCTATACCCAAGGGGAGCCAGCCCCTGGCGGGGTCCAAAGGGCAGAGAATTGACCCAATTTTTTATTCTTATTCAAATACCCGTTTTAACAGTCTTGGTGGTTTGTGACAGTTTGAAACTATCTTGTGGCAGTTTTCAGACATATATCAAAAACCAGTTTTTTGGTCATAATCTGATACTTATGAAAAACATACCCTCTCATTCTCTTTCTTTTTCTCTGAGTCTTATCCAATTGAGGATTTGTGAGTACCACCCAAATACTTCGATTTGAAAGTGATATTCACGATTCTCAGATTTCCAAGTTTCATTAAACCCAAATTTCTAACATAAGTTGGATGAAATAACAACTAAGAGAATAAAGAAAACAATAACAACTACATCCTTCCAGAGCGAGAGGCAATCAACAATACATTAAAAAAAGCATGGTTGTTGTCACTAACACCTATATAAGATTCTGGTCAAGTACTTGTCACCAATATAGGGCATCAAATAACCACGTTTGACTAAACTAGTAGCTAAAACACTACCTTCAAAAGTTAAAATTTAAAGCATTAGATGTTAGCTCCTTATGAAATCAGATTCTAACAAAAGTTGATAACCCCTAAATTGCTTTTACCTTAACCCAACCATAGTTTCCAAAAAGTGAAAATCAATGGTTATAACTCCTGGTAATAATGGTTTTAGAGTGGAATGATTCGTGCTTAAAGCCGATTGGAAAAAGATGCGGTGACCCCTGTCCAAATCGGCTGGTATTGAAGGCAGCTAAACCACTAAAGTTGCAGGTACAATCTATTCAAAACCACCGGCTAAAGAAAACTATTTTCTCCTGCTGAACAAAAAAAGGGACTAAACTTGTTAAAATATAGAAAATATTGGGGTAAAAGTGCAAACCACTAAAGTTTACTGTTTCTAATGACTTTATGTTATAATATATATATATATAGATATATATATATATATATATATAAATATATATATATATATATATAGATATATATATATATAAACAAGAATATAATCTTATGAGTTATGTGGCTATCCTATTCCGCCTAAACATGGTACTAGGGGTGGAATTGGTACGGTACCAATTCATTTTTCTCTAAACCGTGTACCGTACCAACTATAATTGGTATAAAAAAATTTCTACCTGTACCGTACCAAGTATACTTGGTACCAATTTGGCTACCAACATGTTTGGTTGGTACAAATTGGTAATGGTATATACCAATTTCTTTTAATTTTCTATTGTAACATTTAAAAATAAGCAAAGACATCGGGATTTTGATGTTTAGTATAGAAATTAGTTACGTAGTTCTTTTTGTTTACAAAAGAATTCTACTAAAATAAAGACATCGGGATTTTAATGCTTAGTATAGAAATTAGTTACGTAGTTCTTTTTGTTTACAAAAGAATTATACTAAAGTAACGCTAAAGTAATCTTTTAATACAATCAAATGACTAATATAATGTTATTAAAACTGTAAACACTAAACACAATTAATAGTTGAAATATACGATTTCAATGTATATATATATATATAATATATATATATATTATATATATATATATATATATATATAAATAATAAATTGGTTGGTACGGTATTACCATGGTATTCAAATTTTTGTACCATTATCGTACCAACATTGATCAATTGGTACGGTACTACCAACCAAACATGTTGGCTACCAAATATATTGGCTACCAAGTTTATTGGTTCGGTTGGTAACATGTTGGTTGGTTTTCCGTGGTACAATTTTGCCGGCCCTACATGGTACAATTCCTTAGGGATACTAGGAGATAAAACATGTTTATAAAATAAAAATATTATATTCATAAAAGGAAAACTAGGATGCTATAGTATTCTCAAATCCCAACGCTCTTTATAGTTCCACCATTGTTACAATATTTTGATATTTAAAAAGAACATATGATATTTTGATGTTTAAGATGATCGTAATATTTTGAAAGTTACGACGTAAAAATCATATTAAATAAATATAATATTTTAATGGTTAAAAAAATATATAAAAAATGGGATAATGACTTAAAAGGGTAACATATTATTCGATTTGTACACATTTGGTCACGGAGTTTTTTTTTCGTCCACATTTACCCCTTAAACTTGTTAAACTGTACACATTCAGTCCTTATGACCTGTTACTCCAGGTTAGCCGGGAAAAATAACTTGATAGGGTAATATATTTTTCATTTTGTACACACTTAGTCCTTAATATTTTTGTACATATTTAGTCCTTAACATTTTTTTTGTTTCAAAATAAGTCCTTTTTTTGTACTCATTCAGTACTTATAAATGATTTCTTTAGGTTTTTTTCACGGCATCTTACGTGAGACAATCATTGATGAGGTGCTTGGGTTGTTGATGCTTATGTCCAATGTGATCTCGACTGCTTGGTTGCGTAAGTCTTGTGGTTTGGCTTAGGTCTTGTACTTTGAACATCGTAACTTCTTCATACGATATCAGATTTTAAGGATCTTTATCCACGTGTTCATTTTTTGAGTCTACTACAACTTTCATTAAGATTACTTCCGTTAAAATGTAATATATTTTTACTAACGATTTTATAAAAAAACATACATACATGCATTCATAAAAAACGTATGGACAGGGGAAGACGCAGTAATACATAGTAGGTGTTGCCGAGATGAAATAGGTGTTGCCGATACATGGAAAATAGGTATAAACGTAAAAAAAAAAAGAGAAAAATTTTCCACCGCGAACAGAAAAAACAGGTGTTGTCGGTGCAACACCGTGACCATACTAAATCCGCCACCGCGTATGGATATAAAAATTGTAAGTAAAAATATATTATTTTTTAATGGGAGTAATCTAAATGAAAGTTGTAGTAGACTAAATACGAACGCATGGATAGAAAGATCGTTAAATCCGAGATCATATGAAGAAGTTGATGACGTTCAGAACACATGACCCAAGCAACCAAGTAGTCGAGATCACGATGGATATAAGCATCAAAAGCCTCATACACCTCATTAATGAATGTACCACGTAAGATTTCGTGAGAAAAAACTAAAAAATCATTCATAAGTACTGAATGAGTATAAAAAAAATGACTTATTTTGCAAAAAAAAAAGGACTAAATGTGTACAAAAATATTAAGGACTAAATGTGTACAAAGTGAGAAATATATTACCCTATTAAGTCATTTTTACCGGGTAAGCTGAAGTAGCCGGTCATAAGAACTGGATGTATACAGTTTAACAAGTTGAAGGGTTAAATGTGGATGAAAAAAAAACTCAGTGACCAAATGTGTACAAATCAAAAAATATATTACCCTTTTAAGTCATTATCCCATAAAAAAATTTAGTTGTAATTTATAAATGTGAAGTTTCGTATATGCCCAGCAGGCCTATAGTTCACTCAGGCCCATTAACTTATGAATATCACAGCGTTTAAGGCCCGCGCCTGCGTCCCTCTCCCTCGCCATCGCCGCTGCTTCCCGCATCCCCGCATTTTCTCCGACCAGGACGGCAGGACCTCCGATGGGGTCTCCGATAGACGGACAAGGTACGTCCTCTCTCTATGATTCTCGTACATGCACGCACTTATGCGTTTACAACTTCAGAGTTTGAAATCTTTTGCGTTAATGTTTGCTTTCTGTCGGTCTCCTTCCACAATCTAGAGTTGAATGTTCAAAATTTGATCAGGCTCTCTGTGAAACAATACGGCGCATTTCATCTCTTCAAAACCTGCTAAATATATTCATGTATTGGCTGTATTGTTTTCTCTTGTTGTTTGTGTGTTTTGGGGCAATGTTTTTACATGTACCAATTTAGAGTTTCTTGATGTGAATATAAAGTAGAAATTGTGTATCACATGCCGTCACATTTGTTAGGTACATGGAATTGCTAACATATGTCTTTGAGCAGCTGAGGACATGGATGCTCAGTTTGAAACAGTTGAAGCACGATTGCAATCTTTCCTTAGTCAATTCCAGTCAGAACTAGGCGTACTTGATAGAATCGTCCACAAAAATAAAAACCAGCATCGCAGAAGCTCATATTTCCAGTACTTGTTGAAGGTATTGCTTCTTGTTTCTAAACCGTTTTTAGTTTTAATCTGATAATATGGATAAACTCTGATGTCAGTGAACTGCACATAAGTTTATATATGTTTTATCTGGTTTATGTAACCAGAGTTCTTTTGCAAAGTAGGTGAGAAGAGATTGTAAGCTTCTTCAATCAACTAACTTGGAGGAAATTGTTAACTCCTCCTTTCTTGTCATCAATGGGAATCGACCTAAGCAAAAAGTTCAGCTCTTGGAAAGGTATTAATATTATTACTAAAGTTACTCACTAGTCCCCTTCAAAAGAAAAAAATCTCTATAATTAATGCTGCAATCTGTTTGAATTCCAGTTTGATACTTTATAATTCATAGTTTAAAGAGAAGAAAATGTGATGGTGTCAAACATAATTTTATGGTTCGACTTCAGGGTGCTGCACGTTTACTTTCACAGGTAAATCTTACAAAATTTATACATTTTAAGTTCTTCATTTAATAGAATTTAGCTCCATCCATTAACATTCAATATCTGTTTTTGTTTTTTCTTTTTGCAGATGGTTGAGCCAATGGTGAAGGCAGCTATGTATCCTCCTTACAAAAAGACATTAGCTTGTTATATTTTGACTAAATGAAGTGTTTCAAGTGGAAACTGCATAATATAATTTTTTTTTCTCTTCTGTTTAAGTTTGGAATTTTTGTTATTCATACATTTTTTATTTTTGATCTCCTTGACATTGGAATAGAGAGATATCTTCTTTGCTTGCTCGATCCTTTTTTATGGGATTCTCCATGACTGTGTTGGCTATACTTGCACGCCTTCGAGTTTTAACTCAACAAGTAAGCATTATGATGATTATTATTTTATTTATATCTTTATATTTTGGGCTTAATTCCTTAATCCTTATGCATACTAGTTTTTTATTTTGTTTTTGACAGATATTACTCGATGTTGTTTTAGTCTTCAACATGGTTTCTTCTCTCTCACAAAA